TTGGAACAAATGTGAATTTATAAGTTTTTTTTATAAATTTGTTAAAAGGACATTCCATCAGGTAACCGTCGCACCTGAAAAAAAACTCAGGAGAAGTTAGAAAATGTTTGAGCAGAGGTCGTTTTTCGTTTATACACACCAGAGATTAGTTGTGTGGTTGTTATTGAATATACATTTATTTGTAATGATTTGTTCAATTTCTTTCTTTTATATAAATCAAAATAATAATAATAGAATCCAAAGTTATAAATAAATGCAATGCACTCTCACTAATCTCAATCAGCACTCAATCCAAACCAATGTTCATTTTGCTGCTAAATGTTCCAGTCAAAATCAAAATCATAGAATAAGTTTTATAAACATAAAACAAAATCCCAAACATTTTTTTTTTTTGCATTTCTCAATGTTTCAAGATCCTAGGTCCAAAAATGTACAAATCTTGGGGAGGTCATTTTTTGACCAATCACCATACTTTCCCTGTTATATATATAACAGTGGAGAAAGTAAAAAGTTGGAAAATTAATATGTACTATATATTATAACATAAATATAGTGTAAAAAATTTTCAAATATGTTTTTGTCTCTAGTCCTTTTTGACTTTTTTTTTATATACAACCAAACTAACATGATAATCCTGTACACGAATTAGTTCAGATTTGCAAGAGTGCAGTAAACTGTTATTTGAGAACACCCAAGAATTCTTAAAGTTCTGGGAACAATTACATTTCTTAAAACCTTATCCATCATTTATTTATTATTCTTTGTCAAAACCATAATATATTTTAATAAAATACATTATTAAAACAATACAGTGGGTGATCAGTTAATGAACAGTTCGGTTAACAAACAGATTAGATAATGAACACTTTCGCGAAAGATTTTTATTTGGACAACAAACACAAGAAGAAGCAACATAAAATAATGAATATCAATGTCTTCCCTTGTCTTCAGGCAACTGTTCGGAGTGTGAGACACTCAGCCTGGTATATACTGATCAGATAGTATTCCTCCAAACTTTGAAACTCTCCCTTATAATTCCAGCCTTTTATTTTTCTGACAGAAACAATTCTTTTATAGTATTCACAAAACTGTCGGGTGGACACTTGTTAAGTTTTGCGTCGGTTTTTATTTTCGAAAGGTGAGAGTATAATAGCAAAGGTAGAGTGGACAGATGATGTCTGATATTGCTGGGTAGTATGGCTTGAACATGTCTACAGTAGGTAACAGTTCAGTCTTATCTATGAAAGATAAAGTATAATCAAGAAGACTCAAGCAGATAAAGGAGTAACAAAAATCACATCTGAGGAATAAAGAACATTGAAGAGCTCATAACTGAACCGGAAACAGATCTGATGACAGAAGAATGCCAAGAACTCTTGAATGAAGAACATTAAGAAACTCGGCAAAATATGTTTTCTTCTGAAAAAGAGGATTAATGCCGATATCTCCTATTACAGATCCTTTGAAGAAGTGGGAGGATGTCAGAACAATGGTCTTAGAATGGCATCCAAACCAGGTTGATGTTAATAGGCTTGGTGATCTCTACAATTACAATGCTATTAATTACTTCTGAAAAATCCTGAAGAAGAGAGAAAAGCAATCGACATTAGACAAATTCTTTAACCTGCACAAATGAAGAAAACATGACTAGTAAAAATGCAAGACTGTGTATATATGTATTTTTATTATTACATATAAATAAACATAGTAAGAAAGTATTCATTTTTTATTTTTTGGGATTTCCAGAATGAATTAATCAAATTCCCATANATATATATAGATTTCAAAATGCAAAAATAGAAATAAAAACTTATGCTGCCAATTGTACAATGCAACAGATCAATAAATGTTGAGCAGTCGGTCAATGGTAATGGGGATACCATTAGGTGTGATTAATGATTATGCTATGGACTTTTGATGGTGGGGTGTGTTACCGTTATTATTATTATCTCTCAACAATATCCCCATGTGTTGTTTGAAAAAAGTATTATTTTGTTTATAAAAAGTATTTCTATTGTTAGCAAGAAAAAAGACAGCTAATTTCTCCAGATTTTCTCTACAAGCTGTAATTTTTTTCATTATTTATTCAGTATTTTTATTAATTTTTTATCGACAAGACTGTCTTGTTTATAAAATCATGCTGCCTGTTGTGTTACCAGCTTAGAGTACATGTCAAAAGTTGCAATTTGGCACAGTTAGGTGCCAAAATCAAGCGAGCATAAAAAACCAGACTTGTAGGTACTCAGCAGACCAAGAATCAAGTCAAAATAAAATTCAAAATGGCGACACTCTCTACAAACAGGCGGATTTGCGTATGCGTTGCTCGTTGGGAAGTTAGAAATGCCATGGGAGTACGCTAATGAAAAATGGTTGGGAACTACTGCCTTAGAGCAATTGAGGAGGTTGATCAAGGATATGTATTATATCATTTTAGAGGTGATTATTGCAACGTGAGCATTACTGGAGTGAGATGGTAATTGAAAAGTATAAAAATAGCATTATGCAATTTGTGGATAATTTCTATATGTAAAATTATTATTTGTAAAGTTTTCTTAGAAGACATGTTAGATAATACCAAGAAATGGAAATGAACTATCTCTGTTTCTAATAATAGGCATTTTTTCAATTACATCACAAAAATAACTCAGTTTTTCTTACAAAAGATTTATTTTAGTTTCGACCATTTAATTCCATTTTTTTCTCCACTTTCAAGAAAGCATATCTTTTCTTCTTCTTCAATTAAGAATTTAAGTAACAAACTCAAGATGATAAAGGTATGCATGCTATATAATTACTTTTTGATTTCTCAATCTAAATATTTTAATAATTATGTCCATTCATTTCATCCAAGTTTTCAGTTACCAGAGATAGTATTGATCTACATTATCTCGGATAATTGGGGTTCTACTGTATATTATATTAATAATAAAGATACAACGTTGTATAAAATTTATATTAAATGAAAGATTTGAGCAAGAATGGAAGGAAATAAAGTTTATAGCTAAATTGCAAGATGGTAATTTTTTTTTAGCAGAAATTATTTTAATTAAAAAAATAATGTACTGGTAATACATGGCAGCCATAATTAAAGTTTTTCTATTCAGAGTGCATTGTAGCTGTAACCAACAAGCAGATTAACACCAAAATTTGTATAGACTAGGCACAAAAGAATTTTTCAAAAAAAAAATTTTAGTTCAAAAAGTTCCACTAGGAGCACTTTACAGGAAAATACAAAAAATAAAACAAAAAAAAACACAATGAAAACACATTTGTTCCACAAGGGATATGCATTCTGCAGAGGCTGTTTACTGATGTAAGGGATATTGCTCAATGTGTGCTCCACTGTTCAACTGTAAAATTATTTGTAATGTTTATTTATTTTATATACGTTAAATCTGGCAATGCCTCAAAGATAATGTATGCCACCCCTCACTACAACCACCCCAATAACAAAACAGATAAAAACACACAAAACACTAATTATTATTTAGAAAAGAGCATCTTTTGCAGACAGCTTTAAATTTCTTGAAATCAAAGAATAATTTATCTTCAATTTTAGCAGCAGATTTTTGATAACCTAAAAATGATCTAATCATTACATTAAAGCAACAATATGGTGTATAAATACAAGATAATGATCTAGTATTAAACAAAGGGATACGATTGTAACGTGAAAGAAGTAGGCCATTAAAATATCTACAGGTATAAATGCAATCAAAAAATCCAATACATTTGATTAAATTTGGAAGTCAGATGAATCCTTAAACTTCAGGAAGATTAGCAACTGGCAGATGCAAAAGTTTGTTAAGAGTAATGAAAATTTTGTTAAGTTCTATACTCAGTTTATTTAACATTGATGGGGAGGTTGAAGCCCATATAGGTAACACAGTCAATAACAGAATAGTACAAAGTGTATTTTTATTTGATATATTTTTTAAATTATTCCAAATCATACTGTGACAGATGGAAATATTTTTGTTTTTCTGTGTGTAAGTTGAAAGAAAGCCTAGTATCAAAAATTATTCCAGGGTCACAAAAGTTAAAAACAATTTCTAACAGCTAATTATTTACAGAAAAATTATTAAAAATTGAGCCTGAAAATCATGATGTTCGTTTTGCTTGGATTTATTGAAAAATTTAATAATTTGAATAATTTAATTTAGTTTAAAATAACAGATTAAAACATCATTTTAAGGTTGATCTTCATTATTTACTGTGTTTTGTTTTTTGTATTTTCCTATAAAGCACCTTTAACTGAACTTTTTGAACTAAATTTTTTTTTTTCAAAAATTATTTTCTGCATAGTCTCCAAAAATTTTGGTGTCAATTTGCTTATTGCTTACAGCTACAGAGTATTCTGAATAGGAAAACTTTTATTATGGCCACACTGAATGTCAAATTTACACAGAAATCCAGAATTGATTAAATTTGATTATATCTGCTATTAAAATTTTTAATTATTCTTATTTTGAAATATTAAAAAAAAAATTTTTTAATGCAATTTAAATTCAAATGTACTCAAATATTCTAATTTCAAATTTTTGTTTCTATGATCTGAAGGCATTTTGAATGACAACAGCAGAAATACATATAAACTTTGTTTTTTCTTTATATAATTTTAAACAAAACTAGTATCAAAACATTTGTGAATCTCAATACTGAATTATTTGACAAGATAATGTACTTTTGCAATGTAATTATAGAATTTCAATATTTATGAATTATTCATAAATATTATTCACAAATATTATTCATAAATACTGTATCATTAACTGAATTAATTTTTTCCATCCCTATAATCAGTTTAATCATAATTTAGATGGTCTTTTCATTAATTTTCTAGTTAATTTTTTGGCTATTTTAAGAATTAGAAAATCATTTTTCAAAAAATTGAGAAAGGATTTTAACCCTCCTCTGTTAATTTTAGTAAACTGATGATGATTAGATAGAATAAACCTTTGAAGTGATTTAATATTTAAATTATGGTAATTTAATAATGAAAATAAATAAATGACTTGCCAAAAAACTGTTTCACTTCTGTCCATATTTATTATGATGATGCACATCAAATAATGTTGTATCTTCATCATCATCGTCATCTCCTTTTTCTAGTGGTTCCATTTCTAATGCCGAAGTTGAAGTAATAACACCATATTTTCTCGACTTGCTTTTTCGACGTCGCAATCTAGTTGAATATTTTTTAAAACTCAAATTAATATTTTTGGGTAATAAATAAATTAGCATTAAAATCTTACTGATAACAGTAAGATGCTTAAAATCCTAAATATGAGTTTTTTAGACAAAACAGTCACCAATAATATAGTAATAATTTAGTGTAAAATATCAATTAATTTAACAGTTACATAAACAGAAAAGTCCTATTTTTTTAAATGAAAACACATTTCATAATCATTAACACCTATAACTTTTTGTTTTACTTTTCCCACCCTGTGGACTTAAAAAGGAACTTTTAATGGAGCCCACTGCAGGTTTGACTATGCCTGTATGGGGCAACTGGGTGATGGGGCCAGACATATCTGGGACAGTTCACTCCTTGGAAAAACCTGGAGTTCTTTCAAACCTTCCAGATTCAGAGCATTGTCCCTCAGAGTGGTAGGCTGATAGTTTAACTGCTCAGCCATCCAGCTGTGCTACACCTATAATTATTACTTAAAATATAATTTTATGAAATATGTATTACATAAATTGCAAACTGATTTTGTTTTCTTTTGTCTAAATATTTTGTTCTAATGAGNTGAAGCATTTTATATAAAATGCTCTAAAATATAAATGTAACAATTTCTTAACATTATGAAAAATATATCAAATAGTTAAAAAGAAATAGAATATTGCAATCTTTCTTTTATATAAATCAAAATAATAATAATAGAATCCAAGTTATAAATAAATACAATGCACTCTCACTAATCTCAATCAGCACTCAATCCAAACCAATGTTTGTTTTGCTGCTTTGTTGGAATGGATTATGTTCGTTACCGATCACCCACTATATATGATTTTTATTTTTAAAGCAATTATTTAATATGAATCCAAACAAATATTTAGGCAATAATGAAAAATAGTGTTTTCAGAATGCATGTTATTTTTGTCACAGGAAAATCAAATAAACATGTAAATGTGATTGTATAACATTACTTCAATTTAAATAAACCAACTGTTTAAATAAAATATATTAATTATTTTAAACCTACATTGTTTATTTTATAAATAGTTCTAAAAGGTTTCAAACAAAATTTTTGATAGTTAGGTATAAAAGTTATTTTTGAAGTTACATGTTTTCCAAAAACAGTAATTCCATTGTAATCATACACAAACACTCATATTGAAGACTAGAAAAAACTGACAAAATTTAAGCCCAAATTTTTAAAATTGTATGCTTTACTATGGGTGCGTTTACTTCTGAGTTAGCAGTACTAACTCAGAAGTAAATGCACCCTATGATGATGATATTGATATAACTTTAAAAATGGAATTAAAAATACAATCAAAACTATATAACATTACAACTATTTTCACTACTAGCCTCCCAATTATTTTAATTAGGCTAGTAATAATAGCAGTTTCATTAAATAAATGTTAATGAAATAAAAGTTAATTTTTTACTATCGATAAATATAACAATTAATATTAAAATAAAATTGTATAAAAATATAAAAATGTTGCTTCAAAATAATAATCATTTAAAATACCAACCAGCTGCCAATTAGATTCAATACAACATTTAACTCTCAATTTAACTGATGAGGAAAAAGATTGTCACAAGTTTGCCATCACTGACCTATACAATGTGAAAAATTCCAATAAAGCATAATTTTGTTATTTTATGAAATTGAAATTACAGTATTTTCATTATGTATAAATATACAACTTACTGCTATAGTTATATTGGTGTCTTTAACCTATCAAAATTTGAATNTATTAAAATAAAATTGTATAAAAATATAAAAATGTTGCTTCAAAATAATAATCATTTAAAATACCAACCAGCTGCCAATTAGATTCAATACAACATTTAACTCTCAATTTAACTGATGAGGAAAAAGATTATATATTCTATGTAATAGAAAATGAAGCATTTTATATAAAATGCTCTAAAATATAAATGTAACAATTTCTTAACATTATGAAAAATATATCAAATAGTTAAAAAGAAATAGAATATTGCAAATTATGAACATAAGTTTATCTAAATTTTATCTCAAATATAAACATATTTAAAACTAAATCATTCACATTACAAAATGCATAATAACCTTTCTGATAATATTAAATTTTGAGTTTTATTCAATTTCATTACTCAAAGTAATTTTATGTGAAAACAATTTGCAATTTTTCTTTCCTTCTTTGTTTTCCATCCTAACAAATAATTTTAATTACCATATTTTCATGTCTATATGACAAAGATAAAAAAAATTGCTATAACAGAAAACTTCTCATAACCTGTCCCCACCATACACCCTTGCCTATATAAACAGCCATTACTTCTTAAAATCAGCCACATCACATAACCTGAACTCTTCCTTTCAATTTTTTTTTTAACACAAAGCCAGCTAGCCATATGCATGAAAACAGTACCTACTTTTAATCATCTATAATTATTGCATCATATCAGTAAATATTAATGTTAATTGTATTAGAATATATTGGAAAAAATAAAATTTATAATTTGAGTATATACATACATCTTCAATTTATCATTATAGCCCTCAGAAAAGTGCTTCCTGCAGTTTCTGGTTTAATTTGAGAAAAACAATAAAAATTAAAACAGTAACCTAACATAACATTATTTCTTTCTTCCTTAAATAGGAAACTGCCATTTTTGCATCACAAAATTATTTGCTTAGGATATGTTCTACATACGCAGATCAGTTTTAAATGAATCTAATCCAGGGGTCACCAAACTTTTTTCACAGTGGGCCAGATAACCAAGAGAATGACGAGTGCAGGCTGTATAAGCATAACCAATTTGTTTAATACAGTATACTGAATACACAAAAAATAAAGAGAACCAACATATTTATTTACCAATACACAAACACAATTGCTGCAGCAAGCTTGTAATTGCTTTTCTTAGAAACTTCATTGCAGATACACAAAAAGTGCTCCAATATCCAGTCACAAAAAGTTGCCGAATTTTTTATTTCACTGATTTATCTAAAAATTATATTACTGTCAGATGCAAAAATCAGATCGGACCAATTTTGGCATTTTTACTTACACTTATTATGTAAAAAAAATTACAATAAGTTTATCTACAAGCTATGATATTTCCATATAAATAATTATATTTTAGCTCACTTGTGGTAGTGTGGTGGCAAGCCGGATAAACTTAACTCACAGGCCATAGTTTGGTGACCACTGATCTAATCTAACAACAAATTATAGAAAATTTTCAAACAAATATCCTGCAGAGAATCCATCCTAGATCCACAATTCCTTAAATTTTTTTCATAAGGATGATACTTTCTTTTATATATAGGAAAACAGTGATAATTCTCATTTTTGCAATTTTAAGATATCTGAAATAACTAAAGTTTTCACAAAACATATAAATCACACTTATTGATATGTATACATTCACAATAATATTATCTTATATAATGTGCACAACTGTTTAAAGACTGTCAAACTTAGAAATATCTAATCAACATGAAAATAAAAACTTTAAATATAGGTTAAATTAAAAATAATTTGATATGATTATACAGTTAGCCCTCCATATCTGAGAGGTTCCACATCCACAGATTCAACCAAACAAAAATTGAATATATTTTTAAAAAGTTCTAAAAAACAAAACTCAAATTTGCTTATATTTTAAACATTCTGTACTTTATTCTATGTATTTCTTTTTTTGGATCAGTAAATAAAAGCAATCTGAGTATTGAAAGAAATTGTTACATTGCTGCTGACATTTATATTATACAATAATTAGGGCTGCAATAGTTGCATTTATACTGAACATTTTGTACATCTTTTTTCTCATCATTATTGCCTAAATCAGGGGTCGGCAACCTGCGGCTCTTTAGTTCCATACGCAAATATTATTAAGTTTATAAAAAAAAAACATTTAAAAATCGTTATAAATCGATTAATGAGGATTAGGCACTGATTCTATCTCTCAGCCACTTGTACTCGCTTTTCACCGCACTCCACCTCCGTGACACACGTCATCACTGTCATCAGTCCGTCGGAAGCTCTCGAATGACGCTGTCGTCGGATGTTTCTATTATCTAATTTGTTGTGAAAAACACTACTTATATATGAATAAATAGATATTTTTTCTTATGAATAAATAGATTAGTTTTTTTTTTATCAAAAAACTTTATTTATGCGAGTACTATTTATTGTTGGCAAGAAAAAATTTTGTGGCTCTTTAAAAACTTTGAAATTTTGTAAATTGTAATTTTGGCTCTTCCGACTCAAAAGGTTGCTGACCCCTGGCCTAAATAATACAGTATAAAAACTACTTACATAGAATTTATATTGTATTAAGTATTATAAGTAATCTAGAGAGGATTTAAAGCATATAGGACACAGGTTATATTAAAGTATTATGCTATGTATTTTATAAGGGAAGCTCCAAAACAAATCTCTTGCAGATTCCAAGGAATGACCATACAATGAAATTTTAATCTATACCAAAAGAACATACATTCTTTCAGTATAGATTAACATTCCAATGACACAATATTTATGAAAGTCCAAGAAATGTTACAGTAAGACAAATGACAAGGATTTATTTATTATAAAAACTGGCATTTAAAAGCTAATGTTTATTCCAAAACTTAAAAAAAGAATTTTTTTTTATGCAAGAAATGTAAGATTTTTTGTTTTTGCCAGAAATCTTGACTATTTCATACAAAGCACTCAAATGTTCAATCATATCTTAAAAAGATAAATAAAAACTAATACATGCTACTTGTTTACAAAGTCCTATTAAAACAGTTTTGCTGAATGAAAAAATGATTCTCAAATTTACAAATTTTACTATTAAGCACGGAAGAAATTTAATTCCATTCACGAATTTTTACTTCATACCACATTTTTTTTTTTTAAATTTGTTTCCTTAAATACAGTATTTACAAATATCAAATATATAAAGTTGTATTTACCTAACAGCTCTAATAATAAAATAAATAACAACAGTGGACATAACGAAGGCAACCACGTAGAAGGTTCTCATAGCAGCTCCACTATTCATGGTTAAAATCCAAGAAGGTGCTTGAGCAGTTTCATTTGAACGACTATTTTCTACCTTATCGTTGATAGTAGTCGCATTTTCATTATGACTCGTCTTTCCGTCCACGACTTCCGAAGGTTTCGCTGATGGTTCCAATTTACTAGCAGAATTTACGGCTAAAGCCGCAAGAATTAACAACACTACGTACATTCCCGCATAAGTTGTGAAAATCCTATTTCGTTTTAGAAAATCATAAACCAAATAATTGTGTAATGATGACTTCTCCTTGCTCAATATTTACTTCTACTATCACTCTTCAGTGCACTCTGGGAAAATACCAGAAACGAAGAAATTTATAAATAGGTTTTTTTCTTTTTTTTTCTTTTTTTTTAAAAGAAATATACCAATATTAGCCAATTAATTTTTTAAATGNAGAATTTCATCGTTCACTTTTATTAATTATAACTTTTATTCATAATTTAAAGGGGGGTTTCGGTTTATAACTAAATTCTTGAGATAATTTTGTCGCTATTTTCTTATTTTATTCTCTGAAATTAAATTTCATTGTACAAATTGCCGGCTGCTTTCTTATTAATATAATTTATCAGATTATCTGAGTATAATGCGCAACATTTATTAAGAAAGAAGCATGAATAAATGCTGTATACCGTAATCTTTAAAATCACAGGCCTGAGTAATTGTAGGCCTAAAAATGATCTTCCGAAATTGATAATTTTAAATATGAATCTAATAAATTGTATATAAAAGCATGAATAAATGCTGTATACCGTAATCTTTAAAATCACAGGCCTGAGTAATTGTAGGCCTAAAAATGATCTTCCGAGTTTGATAATTTTAAATATGAATCATATCGATTATATTCTATATTTTTAATACCGGTATATTTTTTAACTTTTTCCGCCTTGTGGGCACAAAGAGAACCTCTTTTACCATGCGCATTATGGGTTTGGCTAGGCCCACAATGGGGTGGCTGGGTGGTGAGGGACGGGGCTCGACATATCCGGACGGACCACCCTCTGTAAAATTCCTGGGGAATTTTTGACCCCTCCGGATTCGACCCCGGGTCCCTAGAGCGTTAGGCTGTCACCTTGACCGCTCGGCCATCCGGTCGTCAATGCTGTCGTGCTCCTATCTAGAAGCAATGCTACTCATTTATATCCATTAGCACTACTTGAATGAATTATTTTGAAGTCTGCTTTGAAATTCTCCTTCTGTTGACCAACAGCCAACCCCAACCAAACTTAGGCACTGTAACTTTGCTTCTCTTTAATTATTTGTTTTCCTGCTTTTAGCATTGTGTGCATACTCCACGTGCCAATATGCATGCAAAGTTACTGCTTGTTTATAATCTGGGGTTCCTTGTTGTTCTCCCCGCCGAACTTGTCTCTTGGGCTTTGCTAGTCAAACTTGAGTCACAGACATCAAAAAACATAGACCGCTGCGTCACCCATGTCAATGAACATAGACCAGCCGCAGCCAATTGCAATATTTCTGAAACTACTGATTATTTTAGCCTCACGTTAGCCTGCAGTAATCCCTTGAATGATATAAGGTGCTTTTTTAGTTTTATTTACGAACTTTTGCATTTTGTCTACGATGACCAGAGGAAAAGCTGTTTCAGAAGATTTAAGGAATGCTATCATTGCTAAACAAAGTCGTGGCATGTCTGAGAGAGTTATTAGAAAAGAGCTAATGCTAAGCAAGACAGCAGTGCACCAGATTATTGTTTATTACACTAACCACGGCCGTGTTATACCTAACAAAACTGCTGAACATCAGCGAAAAACTTCAACTAATAAATTCAGGGCTGCGGAGTCGGTAAAAAAAACACCCGACTCCGGCAATATTAAAAACCAAGTCAGTTTATGGGGGAAGAGGCGCTCATAGAGGGGTATCCTACTTTCAACTCCGAAAGGAGGCCCGGGCCAAGGACTATATACTACAAGGATAGCCAGATCCCTATTCTACAATGTTAGCCAGGAATGACAAGTTAGTGACGTCAGCACGAAACCCGACCTCTCTGTTTACATAGAGCAGGGTGTGCACGTGTTTAGTTTTCGCTTTTAATATTCGTCCAATTTTGTGATTAACGAAGTGATTTATTTTAATATTTCTGTAATTGTTTTATTTGACTAAGTTTTTTATAAGGTAAGATGATTTAAATATAAGTCATTAAATATTTAAAGCTATATTTTTATGTTAAGTGAAGAACAAAATGCTGAGTACTAGCGGAACAGCTCAGTAAATAGCGGCCGATTTCTAACAACTTATTTTTCTGCGAAAACTTCGTTGAACTTTGGAGACATCATTAATATAAATAATTTTTATCGCCGTTGAATAAGAAATGTTTTTTTCACAAGAAATGTATAAAATTATAGTACTGTATTAGACTTACAGTACCTAATTTAGGCCTATATACTGTACAGACGATAGTAAACTCAACTTACCCGCCTAAACTCTCCATAGCGTGTAAGTAGTTCGGCTGCTCGTCCACTATTGGTCCAGATTCGACCAATCCTGTTGCGACACAAGTCGGCGATGACGTTTTACCGCATTTTACGAGTCTCTTTTAGCGTCTTTATACGAATACGGTCGCAATTTTTTCGCCTCGATATATGAATCCGCATTATATGGACCCGCGTTATAGGGGGGTCTACTGTACTCTGATCAATTAGTCTCGCTCATTCAGAAAAATAGAGTACTCATTTAGAGCAGGGATAATAAAGAATGATTCAAAAATATTTAGCTACTAAACAAAAATACTGTACTACAAAAAACTACATATTTAATAAATTAAATTGTTGCATTTTGTATTTAAAATAAATGAATTTTAACAAAATACAAAAACATTTTAAAAAATTATTAAATATAAAATAAATTTTCTTTCATTTAAATAAAAAACTAAATTAAATTTGAAATGTCGGAGTCGGAGTCAACACATTTTTCCCCGACTCCGACTCCTCTGGCCAGAAATTCCTCCCGATTCCAACTCCGACTCCTCAGCCCTGGATAAATCAAACTTTGAATTATCAGCAACAGACAAAAGCAAATGTGTCATTCAATCTGTCAGTCAAGCTAATGAGCCATCGTTGTTATACCACTCAGTGAAGTTTCCTGCCAGCTTCATGGTTTGGGGATTTATGAGCGCCAGTGATATGGGTCAGTTGACATTTGTCGATGGAACACTTGCTTCAGAGTAATACATTAACATTCTACAACAGTATTTACTTCCGTTTATAGCAAAGCTATATCCAAGTATGACCTGCTTTTTCCAGCAGGATGGGGCCACATTTCATACAAGCAGAAAAACAAAACAGTTCTTCCTTGGCCATCCAACAGACCAGATCTTTTATCAATTGAAAACGTATGGAATATTATGAAGAGACTTCTGCGAAAAACGCCTTCGGACAGTTGAAGGACTAAAAGCTTCCATCTTAACTATCTGGAATTCCATAACGGCAGATGAACACCTAGTCAACAGCATGCAGAAACATATGAAAGGTGTTTTGGCTGCAGAGGTGATGCAACAAAATATTAAACATGCAGTGGTCTGTTTTTTTGATGCCTATGACTCAAGTTTGACTGGATCAATCTTGTTAAACTTGCAAGATATCAAGTTGATATTTAGCAAAAATGAAGATTAATTACTGTATATTTGTTTTAAATTATGTAAAACATTCATGCAATGAGTTAAGCCTAAACTCCACATTACCGTAATCCGCAACGTAATCGTAAAAATGAAAGCCGAACTGACGAAACTTTCAGTTTTGTAACGTTCAGTTGGACAAAAACAAGACTGAAAGCAGAGTTAAAAATTATTTATCTTTTTCGTTTTCGTCCCGCGCTTCTGTCTTACTGCAACCAATAAAAGCGCAAGGATTTGTGACGCGTAGTCACGTGCATTAGTCACGTGCTGTTTGATTGTCGTAATGGCGGAAAGTGTAGTGAAAACGACGAGGAAACAAATAGATTTTGAATTCTTCATCGAAGAAGTTAGAAAATACACATGTCTGTACGACAAAAAATGTAAATAATTCGAAGATTATTAACAATTTCATTGTTAATAAATGCAGAGAAAGCATGGCAAAATCCGTAGTGTCGTCCCTGTTTAACAATTACAGAACTGATTAACAGATGGCGCATTTCTAGTGGAGTCAAGTTAAAATGAAAATATAACTGAAACGAAAACTCTATATGTTTCAGTTCTGTTTCTGAGTTTCTGTTTTCAGATAATGTGGAGTCCAGGCTTTAGACTTACTGGCTGTGACATATAAGATTGTAAGGGAAGAATTTGCAATAAATCGATGTACCATGGATGATAACTACTTTGATACAATGAATTTTGATCTTTGTTTATTGCCTGCGAAATTGCAGAGTCTATTAGAAGTGAATAGCCGAATTTTCAATCGTTAATATTATCTTTAAATAGTAACTCCGATACACCAAAAGTATTTAGAATTTGATTTAGCTTGTACTGCCATAATTGTTTAAATTTCTGTTTTTTACTTTGATTAATATTTTGTTGATGTAGATATATTATTGTATTATCGTTTTTAAATTTAATTCTGTAATAAAATTTTATTATGCGTTTCAATACAAAAGGGAAGAACCAAGTCCGATTTACTTCGTGCCTCAGAGCAAAGCCTGGAATAGTTCTTTCTAGTTGGAATAATTTGCGTAAATAATAGACGTGAAGATATTCCGATTTATATATATAGTTTAAACTCCATATTGGGCTTGCATAATTTATTATAGGAACGATTGCTGAGTTAAATAATTTAATGTGAATTTTTAAATTGTTAGTTTCCAACTTAGAATACAAATAGTAGATTATCTATGGCTTGCTTTGCTTTGATTTTTATTTTGTTAAAATGTGCTTTAAAAGATAAGTTCCAATCAAAGCTGACTCCTAAATATTCTATTTCATTTACAGTTTGTAAAGGAGTATTTTCATGATATAATTTAGTGTTATTTTCGGATATTTTACAATTATTGCGGAATATGATAACTTTCGGTTTGATCGGATTTATTGTTAAATACGAGTGGAATCAGAGACGGTCCTGCTAGGTGTGCGGTATATACAGTACACACCGCACACCTAGCAGGACCGTCTCTGATTCCACTCGTAGGGAGCTATTTGACTAAGTGGTTAAGATTTAAAGAGTAAAGAATATTTTATGTTATTTTTATGTACGTTTCATTACAAAGCTATATTTAATTATAATTTTCTTTAAAAGTATATTCATACAATTGAAGAATGTTTTGTACCAGGTATGTATATCCACCACACATTTTATTTCACCAAGTAAGTTTTTATAATTTT